GGTGCAGGATCCCAAGGGTTTGGGTCGTCCTCGACTGCTTTCTCAGGCCACAAGCAGGGAGTTGGATGGGAAGTGGGGCCGCTGGGACACGAACTGGTGTCCATATGAGATCCCGGAGGATGCAAGGTGAGGACTTAGGCACTAGGCCACTGTTCTGTGCTCCCATGAATTCTTTAAAAATTTTACTCCCTTGGGGTCTGTGTCATGGAGTAGTGGGTTAAGTCACTGCCTGCAGTGCCAGCATTCTATATAGGTACCAGTTTGAGTCTTGCTGTTCTATTTTAGATCCAGCTCCCTGCTAATGCATCTGAAAAGGCAGTACGGTGGTAGCCCAAGTGTTTGCTCCTATACCCTCATAGGAAATCCAGAGGGAGCTCCTGGCTTCTGGCTCTGACCTGGCCCAGCCCTGACTATTATAGTCATTTGTCGAGTGAACCAGCAAATGGAAGATCTCTGTCTCTCCCTGTCTCTGTGTAATTCTGCCTTCCAAATAAATAAATATTTTTAAAACATTTTATTATTTTTCTATTTAAAGATTTATTTTTATTTGAAAGAGTTGCAGAGAGAAGGCTATATAGAGATCGTTCATCCACTAGCTCACTGTCCAAATTGCCACAACAGTCAGAATTGAGCCCATCCAAAGTCAGGAGCCAGGAACTTCTTTTGGGTCTTCCATGGAGAAAACTGTAGCAGGAAGCGTGAAGGTCCAAACAGCTGAGGACCAGTGTTGTGGCACACTGGGTTAATTCACTGCTCATGATGCCAGCACCCCATGTCGGAAGGTGAGTTCAAGTCTGGCTGCTTTGCTTCCAGTTCCCTGTTATCACACCCACAACCCATATGGGAGTCTTGGATGGAGTTCCAGGCACCTGATTTTGGCCTGGCTCAGGCCTAGCCGTTGCAGCCATTTGTGGAATAGATCAGCAAATGGGAGATTCTCTCACTCTCTCTTTCTCTGCCATTCAAATAAACAAATATTTTTAAAAGATCAGGACAGCTAACTTTGGCATTTGAGGTACACAGGTTCACAGGACGATAGCCACCCCTAGGCCAGAATGAAGCAAAGGCAAATGGCAGTGTCATCCCTAAGTCCTCAGGGCTCGAAGGGTCACTTAAACTTGATGTTGCCTCATCATTTTGATTATGCAAAGCCAAACTGAGAATTTCTTGTTTACTGCAGTTCCTGGATAGCCTTTCATTTGTCTTCATTCTTCCTGCAGACCCAGGCAGTAGCCTAATTCAATTGGATTTGTTCTTTAAAAATACACAGAGATTACAAATAAAACATTTAATTGGGGAAGTAGCAGAATTCTTAACCCTCTCTGTCCCCTTCAAAAAAAAGTTTTTATTTTCCTTTTTGAATATGGCTTGATGGGGAAGAAAGAAAAGTGACTACTGTATCATCTTACTTATGGACAGCAGGCCAGAGCTAGGTTGGGGAAAAGAAATCAGGTTCCTCCCTCTCCAGCTCCCCCACCCTCTGTTAATTGCCTTACAATGCTCAAAGACACTGAACCTTTTCTGAAGTCTCATGACAAGTTGTGACCCCGAGTTTTCTAATCACTTGCTACCATTACTGTTCATTTTATTATGTACTCAATTTGTATGCCAAGCAGTGCCCTTGATGGAACTCAGCCAGTCCCCAGAGACTCCCACTCCAACTAGACTCCTTAAAAGGCAGATGACATCATTATTTTGAAATGCCAGTATAAACAGATTATGTATGTAGTAAATGTCAACAAGGGTATATATGTCTATGGGGAAAGCAGGAGGAAACTTTGGGTTAGAGAGTAGCCCCACTAATTTGTGGGGCATTTAGCAATAATAGGAACAATTCTCAATTCTTCAGGTTTAATGGTTAACCAAGCGTTTTCATAAATTTTTTTTTTGTTCCTGTTATGTGCAGGCAAGAATCTATTTTTAACATTTAGTCTTCATCAAGCAATATTCTGAGACTCAACCCAGCCGAGTCTTCTTCCTGGAAGCCTGCTTGCTTGTCCCCTTCCTTTGAACAAATTTTTAAAATTTCAAAATCCTTTGTCCTGTGGCAGCCTCTCAAACTAGATACAGCTCTATATTGTCAAATCAACTTTAAATTATTTATTTATTTATTTCCTTGTCAGAGACCAAGAGATCAGCCATCCATTAATTCGTTCCTCAAATGTCTGCAAAAGATGGGGCTGGGGAAAGCAGTAGCCAGGACCCAGGCACTCAATCCAGGTCTCCAATATGAGCTGTAAGAGACCCAATCATTTGCTTCCACTCAGGGTCTGCATTAGTAAGAAGGAAGCCAGAATCCAGAGTGGAAACAGAGGCAGGACTTAAACCCAGGAACTCCAATGTGGAAAGAAGGTAGGTGTCTCAATAATTGTACCAAATGTGTACCCCACAGGCCCGCTTTTATTAAGTCTCTTTAACAGTTCCCCGAAGGACTTCATAAATATTTATTGAATGTTAGTGCCTTATTTCCAAGAGTGTGAGGCTTTGTTTCAGATACATTAAATATTCCCATGCCCTTTGGGTAGAGTCTAGGAATATTATATCAGCATTTTTATTGCTATGGTTTATGTAATTGTTCTCAGGTGTGTATACTGTATACTGGGTTGATCACACCAAAATACACTTCACATCTATCTCTTAGTTGTGGAAGATGGCAGAAAAATTCCCCCCCACATACTACATTCATGCCTTAATCCCCAAGTGTGTAATGTTTTTGCAAATGTGACTCAAGAATTTTGAAATAGAAAGATTAATGTGGATTACTGGTAATATTTAGTCTAATCAAAAGCATCTTTTAAAACTTTGTTTGAAAAGTCAGACAGAGAAGACAGAGGAAGAGACAGAGATCTTCCATCCACTGGCTTATTCCTCAAATGCCCAAAGTGGCTGGGAGCAACCAGGAGTCTGGAATTCCATTCAGGTCTGCCACTTGATTGGCACAGATTCAAGTACTTGAGCCATCACCTGCTGCCTTCCAGGGTCTGCGTTGGCAGGAAGCTGGAACTGGGAGCAGAGTTAGGACTCAAATAGGCCAAACAACACCCCACAAGCAAAAAAGGGAAGAGGGCAGGCTAGAGTGAGAGTAAAAAATATGACAAAGGAAGCAGAGGTCTGAATGAGGCAGCAAAAAGCTCAGAAATGGGGCCCGGTGCGGAGGTCTTATGGCTAAAGTCCTCACCTTGAATGCACAGGGATCCCATATGGGCACCGGTTCTAATCCCGGCAGCTCCACTTCATCTCACTCCCTGCATGTGGCCTAGGAAAGCAGTCGAGGACAGCCCAAAGCCTTGGGACCCTGCACCCATGTGGGAGACCTGGAGGAGGGTCCTGGCTCCTGGCATCGGATCGGCACAGCACTGGCTGTTGTGGTTACTTTGGGAGTGAATCATGGGATGAAAGATCTTTCTGTCTCTTCTCTCTGTATATTTGCTTTTCCAATAAAATAAATCTTAAAAAAAAAAAAAGGCTTGGAAATGGCTGTTTGTAGAAGCTGAAAGTCTAGGACACAGGTTCTCCCCAGACTCTCCAGAAGGAATATACCTCTGTCCACAGCTGGAATGGAGCTCAGGGTCTCTTCCATCCTCCGGAACTGTTATAAATATGTGATAAATCACTATATTTGTGGCAATTTGCTACAGTAGTAGCAGGAAACTCATAAGGATTGTCAATTTTTGTGCCTTCCCAGCTGCATTGATCCTTGTAGGCATTCGCATGTGTTCAGTACCTATCCTTCCCACTCACCTTCCACACTCCACAAAACAAGCCAATAAAAAGCTGGTTGTGTGCTTTAAAACAATACAAGTCCATGGCATTTGCAATGCTTGGTTTGTTTGTTTTTTAAATCAGATCCAACATATATACGTGTATACAGACATGGTTGGGAACCACGGCTTGCCTGTGGGGTTGGGACAACTGAACAGTCACCACCACCACCACACCCACACACACTCAAGTGTCTGGTTTCAATCCACCCTCACACTCTTTATTCCAGCTTCCTGCTCGTGTGGCAGGTGGGAGGCAGCCGTGGCCTGTAATTGAAATTCCTGCCACCCATTGCAGAGCGAGCTGGACTGAGCAAGGATGTGGGAAGGATGTGGGAAGTGAGCCACGAGACATAAGGGTTTTTGTTGTTGTTTTGTTTTTTAACTTATTTATTTATTTAAAAGTCAAAGTTACAGGGAGAGAGGCAGAAAGGGGTCTTCCATCTACTAATTTACTCACTATATGGCCGTAATAGTCAGGGCATTAGGGCTGGGTTAGGCTAAAGCCAAAAATCAGGAGCTTCTTCCTGGTCTCCCACCTGGGTGCAGGGTATCAAGGACTTGGGGTGTCCTCTGCTGCTTTCCCAGGTCATGAGCAGGGAGCTGGATGGGAAGTGGAGCAGCCATGACTTGAACTGCGCTCCTATGAGGATGCTGGCATAGCAGCCGCAGCCTCTTGTTCTGTCACAATTGTAACCTGCCATTTGTTCTTGTCACAGAGCATGGTGCCCACCAAGTTCCCTACTTAATCTGCCCATGCCCACTCCGTGAAGTAGGGCTGGTAATGCCAATCTTTGTGTCAGAGTTTTAGGAAAGGGCAGAGGCCAGGCGCTAAATATGGCAGGTTCCCAGACTTCCTGACCAAAGTTCTTCCCTAGATGACCTAGCCCTGGTATCCAGCAGAGCACAACCCTTGGTACCTGCAGAGCCTGGCAGGACAGCACGCAGACCTGATGGCCGCAGGCCCTAGCTCCACCGCGCGGAGGGCCTGGAGTGGGCCGAGACGTGGTCTAAGAAGTTCTGTTGGGTCGCGGACTGGGCTCAGGAGCGGCGGGCGGCGAGCAGGCCGCGAGGCCAGGTGCCAGGCGTCGGGGAACCGCGGGAGCACCCGACGCCCCGCCTTCCACCCGCGCTCGCGGGCTCGGGTTACCTGCGGCCGGTGGGCGGGGCCGCCTTCCCGTCTGCGCCGGCCCCTAGCCTCCAGGCCGGCAGAGCCGGGAAGTGGGAAAGGGAGCGGGGGAGGCGGAGACTGCCGAGGCTCCAGCCCGGCCGGGCTCCGAGGCGAGGGGCTGCATGGAGCGGCCGGCTTGGCTGTGCGGGCTGTGGGCACTGCTGCTCTGCGCCGGCGCTGCTGGGGACGCCGGGCTCACAGGTGAGGGAGACCCCCGAGGAACGCGCCGGCGGGGGTCTAAGCCAAGAGGCCCACGAGGGTTCCGGGGGGGGGGGGCCGGGGCGGGGGTGGCGGCGCAGCTGCCCTTTGGGGGCTACCCTGGCGACACAGCCCTGGTTCGGCGAGCGCAGGTTTCCGCGCTAGGGACCGGGACACTCGCCTTCGGTTTGAGGAGGTTGGGAGAGCCAGGAGCGGCGGGGTTTTCCTGGAAACCGGGCGCGGTAGCGGAGCGGGCAGACGGTGCGTTGTTGCCCTACTTCCCTTGCGCAGTCGGGAAGAGCCGACGAGGCTGGCGGCCCAGGACAGGACAGGACCGAACCATTTCCGTGGCGTCCAAGGGCCCGGGGGTCCGCGTCAGGAGAGTCGCCTGTGAGCCCCAGGACGGGGTGAGGAACCAGCAGGGAAGGCCATGAAAGTCCGAGTGGCCGTCTTCTGGCTCAGTTATCTGAGGCGGGGGGATACGAGAAGTGAAGGGTAGTGATAGCCAGTCCCTGTGAAAAAAGGACCTGAGAGGAGCCACAACCTCCCTTGGCCTCCAGGGAATTCGATATTAAACCCGGAGTTGCATTCTAGCAGATCCTTGTTGTTCCCTCTCTCCCCTCTCTCTTTAACAAACTTTGTAATTTGAGATAATTTTAGATTCATGAAAAAGTTGCAAAATTCGTTGTACTAGTTCCAGTGTACCCCACACTTGGTGCAGTAACTTTTAATTAAACAACCTGGTCCAGTGGCTGTGGAAAATTGTGTGTTAATGACTTTGTCAGGCCCAACAACTGGCACACATAAACTTGGAGACTTTTTTTTTGCTTGACAAGGGTAGCCTTGAATTGCATAGGTTTCGTTGCACACAGATGTACTATTTGCCTCTTGCATTTTTACTAACGTGCTGTGTTGTGAAAATCAAGTTGAAGTGTTGGGTAGGGAACCTTTGTGCTCTCTGTTAATTTAACCAACGACGTGTATGTGGTCTGCTTCTTACCAGGCATGGCCTGGAGGCTAGGGGTGTAGTTGTGAAACAGTAGATGGAGTGCCTGCCATGTGGAACTGAACATGCCATTGGGGAGGAGTGGGATGGGGTAGGGTATAAAATATATACTATGTTACATAGTGCTAAGTATTTTTTTTTCTTTAATTTTAAATTAATGGCTAGCAGATTAGACATGACTAAGAATGCGGTGACATGTGCCAACCGCCATACTAAGTATTAGGGAGAACATACAAGTTTTTATAACATTATTGATTGATTTGAAGGGCGTAGGGGGAGTCACCCAAGCACTTGGGCCATGAATTGCTGCTTCCCAGGGTTTGTTTGAGCAAGTAGCTGAGCGGGACTCAGTCTCACTTGAAGCACTCTAATATGGGAAGTGGGCTTCCCAAGCAGCACCTTAACTGCCACCCCTGGGAGGGAGTTTGTGAAGAGTTGGCATGAAAACACCTCACTGAAAAGGAGCTGTGTGCGGGTAAAGCTAAGGGAGGCCTGAAGCTTCCTGGTGGATGAGGTGTCTGAGTTGCACAGTACCGACTCGGGCTTGGTAGGTTGTTGGAGAGCCTTCCCAGTGCACAGCATAGGCAATGTCTCCAACTTACCCCTCGTTCAGTCGGAAACCTCTGAGTTTCAGAATCCTTTGGCTATGCTGCCTTCCAGAAGCAGGCAAGGGACTAATCTAAGGTCACCCATCTCATTAGTCTCCTGATTTTCACAGTACTCCTGCAGCACCCTCCTTCCTACGGACTCCTACCCCCACACAACTCAAAGAACATCTTGGCCTTCTCAGCAACAGTGGAAACCTCCGCTTAGTTTTGTCACAACTCTTTGTAGTCTAGTTAGAATACAGAATACAGAAACCGTTTTAAACTGATTAGGAATATCGGTAGAATTGCATTGAGTTATGATGAGGGAAAAAAAAAACCAATTAAATGTCTCTAGTCAGGAGTCGGGTTTTAGTGATCCTGGCAGTGACGGGCTGCGGGATTATGGGCTAACGCTTTGCCTTCTGCATTGCATGTGTTTTCTCTCACCTGCAAAGTGAGACTGAACTCAGTTCTAAGCACTCCTCCAGTTCTGATCTGTTGAATGGTTCTAAAAATGATTACATTTATCAGTTTACTTTACTCTGTTTAGATCAATAGTCCATATTGTGACATGTCTTAATAAGAGCAACTAGAATTTATTATAGGGTTTGCACACTGTGCGTGGCAGATTTCTAAGTGCTTTGTTTATACAAGTTTATTGAATCTTTACAAACACGCTAACCCGTAGGTGCTGTTGGGAGTCCTGCTTTGTTCTGTGAGGCAGCTGAGGCACAGTCAGGCCAAGCTCCACGCTCACAGTTGCGTAGCTGGTGAGCCCTTCACCCTTTCTACTCGATACTCAGTGCCTGTTCCGGTACAAGTGAGGAGAGTCCTTGGCTGGCAGCAAAGCCCAATGCCTCCCAGGGCAGCAGGGCAGGACTGGGTACAGACCCTATAAAAGGATGATGGTGCTTCCAAAAGTGCATGAAAATGGAATCAAAAAGGGAGAGGAGGACTTTTTTGTTTGTTTTGTTTTGTTTTGGTGCAAAGTTTGCTGAAATCCATAGGCATTTTTTTCATGAACTTTTGAAGATGCTCTTTAAATGCCAACCATTTGTTAACAAGCAAATGATCATATATTGGAGATTAACTTTATAATAGCCAGGCTGTAGTTCAGCTATCCAGTGATGATGGCATTCAAAATAGAGGAAATTTTGAGTGTTAGTAGTTTCAGGAAAGGGGTAAGTGAAACTTGAACTTAGTCCTTTGGGCTGAAGGAAATTTGAGCAGGTGGAGAAGTGGACCTCTCCCTGGCCACTGCATGAGGGATGGCAAGAACAGAGACCTGAAAAGGTGGCTGAGAGTGCTCCTTTGTGGTCAGCAAGAAGCCAGGCTTGGCAGGAAGGTGCACTGGCAAAGTCAGTCCAGGCAGAAGAGCTTTATTTGCCCTAGAAGGCCTGGAGCAGAGCAGAGCAGGAGGGAAGTGGCGTTGGAACAGAAGCAAGCGGGAAAACTTGAGTGAGAAGGGGAGCCTCGAGTGGGAAGCAGCGCAGGAATCTATGGTGTTCCTGGTCTGTACTAGCAAGATGGATTGTGAAGTCATGTCCAGGACCATGGCTTACTGATGTGTTTCTGCTGGGTTCTTGCTGGCACAGGGCAGGACAGGGCGAGTAAGTGCATTTGGGTTGATTAAGAAAGATGTGGCAAGAGAAAGCAGACGAGTTGACTGAGTGGATGTGAGGAAAGAAGATGGATGACTCATGTGTGACTCTTGTGATTTCCTTCACTTTTCCCGAAATGTGCATGACTCTGCGAGTTCCTGGGATCGGATAAGAGAAAACAAAAGCTATAAGCTAAGAAAAAAGTTTTGAAAGTAAAGAGAATTGACAAACTCGTAATGCAAATAGTGTTGTGCAAGATGATCACACAGACTCATATGGTTTGAAGATGAGCTGAGTTCTTTCCTCCTCCCTGCTAGCCTTTCTAGAGTCATTGGTCAGCCCCCCAAGAAATGGGTGAAATGAGGTGTTTAAGGAAAGCTTGTCAGGTGAAAGGGATACTTGTTCTCTCTCAAAGGCTGTGGGTACCAATTAATTTCAGGGAAACCCAAAGCAACTATTTAGTGGTGTTTTATATGTTAAAAAAGAAAGCAGAACTGGAGCCGGCTCAGTGACTGAACAGGCAAATCCTCCACCTGCAAGCACAGGCATCCCATATGAATCCTGGTTTGTATCCCTGCTGTTACCCTACTGATCCAGCTGCCTATTTATGTCCTAGGAAAGCAGTGGAAGATGGCCCAAGGCCTTGGGACCCTGTACCCACATAAGAGACCTGGAAGAAGTTCCTGGCTCCTGGCTTTGGATAACCATTTAGGGAGTAAACCAGAGGGTGAACAAGATCTTTGTCTTTGTCTTTCCTTCTCTGCATAAATCTGCCTTTCAAATAAAAAGAAATCTTTAGAAAAAGAAAAAAGAAAGCAGAGCTAACACATAGCGCTTGCTCTGTGCAGGTGCTGTTGTAAAATTTTGCTGTTACTAACTCATGTAATGGATATAACAACTTTTTGTAGTAGCTTACTACTATCATTCTGATGTTACAGATTAAAAAAAAAAAAGAATAGAGGTTAAATAACTTGCCTGCTAGTAAGTAGCAGACCTAGGATATGAATTGGAGTAGTCTGGCTCCAAAATTTATATTCCTAATCTACTACATTATTCGGAAATTACTTGTAAAGAGCTATTAGTGACATTGATAAGAAGCTGGTGCTGTGACATAATGACTTAAAAAAAAAAAACCATAACCCTAAAACATAGCCCTTTAAAAAATGTCTAGAAACCTGCATTGTGGTGTAACAGGTTAAGCTGCCATCTGCCATGCTGGCATCCCGTATGGGCGGTGGTTCCAGTCCTGGTTGCTAAACTTCCAATTCAGCTCCCTGCTAAAATACCTGGGAAAGCAGCAGAGAATGAGCCAGCTGGAACTACATGGGAGTTCCAGAAGATGCTCTGGTCTCCTAGCTTTGGCTTGGACCACGCTGGCTATTGTGGCTGTTGTGGCCATTTGGGGAGTTAACCAGTTGATTGTAAGCTCTCTCTTTCTTTCTCTCTCTGTAACTGCCTTTCAATTAAATACAGTAATGTAAAAAAAAAAAAAAAAAAAAAAAGCCTTCTTTTTGCATGAATAATCAGTTTCCCTAGCACTCACTTACTGAGATTGCCTTTTCCCTGTTGAGTGGTCTTAGCACCTTTGTCCAAAATCATTTTATCATATATGTAGTGATTCACTTCTGGGCTTTTTACTCTATCCCATTGTTCTAGATATTTCTTTTCATGCCCTGTGCCATCTGTTTTGATTATGATAGCATTGCAGTAATGTTTGAAATTACTGGGAGTCCTTCAGATTTATTTTTTTTCAAGATTGTGCTGGCCATTCAGAGTCCCTTGGTGATTACATGTGAATTTTAGGATGAA